ATTCTCTGACTTGTATTACTGCTAATGGCAGTACCTCTTGTTGAACACTACGTGGATCTTGAGGAAAATGTTTAAGTACGTTTGTTTCAAAAATTTTTAGTAAATGTGAACGCATTAAACTATAATCGTAAGTAACTGTTTGAGGGTCAATNTTAAAAAACCGAGATATTGCAAACGCTATCGCAAAAATTCCGCAATCATTTCCGTTTGATTGTTGTTGGACTGTTGGAAATAAAATAGGACAATTCTTTTTATTCTTTTTATTCTTTTTAAACTAAAATGGAAATAATTTTTCTAAAAATTGCTTATGCTCTTCATGCATTTTTTTGTTATTCAACGAATCGTAAATAAAAATATTCTTTGTATCGTAATAGCTGCACACCGAATGAGAAATACTGTACAATATTTGTATATGCTTTGTATTTCTTGGCACAGGCTTTATTGTATGAAGCAAATGATATTGATACATTTCAATGGGTTTGTATATTATCGAATACTTTTGTATCAAGCGGCCGATGTGATTCATATGGATGTCAGTTAAACATTCACCTCGAATAAGTATATCTTTTTCATGTTGAGGTAAAAATAAATAAGTTTTTTCTTTGTTTTCAGACAATTTATTGTATAATAAATGAGAAATCTATAAACAATAAGTTAATAGATAATTATATATATGTTTATAATAATAACACAACCAACAATATATATGTATGTACGTATATATATATATATATGTATAAATAAAATATATGTTTAATATAAATTTTATATGAGATATTAATATAGTGTAACACTCTCTGTTGGTTTAACTTCAATAAATGTAAATATTAATAATGTACGTATGTACGTAACATACGTATCATATATATATGTGTATGTGTGTATGTGTGTTAATATACGTATATATTACTTTTTTTTATATACGGCTGCTTAGAAACAATAATCAATCAACAATAGTCAGTGCACTTTGCAGCCGATATTTTTCTTTTACTTATAACAGCCGATATACAGCGCCGATATTTTACTTTTGCTTATGGCAGCCGATATACAGCGCCCGAGCAGCCGGTATATTGGTTTTTTTTACTCCAGTAAAGAACCTGCAATAAAAAAATGTAACATGTTAGTACATATGTTAAAATATTATATATATATATATATATATATATGTACAGGGTGTCTGACAATTACTTTAAAATTTTTCGTAGGCAGGTAGAAGAAGTAAAACAGAGTCGAATCCTGAACCATTTTTTTTCTATTACATGTAATACAGGAGTACTTATTGAATAAATCAAGTCAATCAGCGCCGACCTTTAGCTGGGCGCACTTCAGTGAGCTGCGCGGAGCGCTCACGCATACCAGGCGCGTGGTTAGGTCGACGCTGACGTGACTGACGTGCGTTCGGCTAAAGGTCGGCGCTGATTGGCTTGATGTATTCATTACTTATTCCTTTATTATATGTATAGAAAAAAAATGGTTTAGGACTTTTCGACTCAATTTTACTCCTTTTACTTGTCTACAAAAAATTTTCAAGTAATTGTCGGACATCTTGTACATAAAAAAAAAACGTAAAATACGATATATTTTGATTTTGTTTCTAATAGTAAATTTATCTACTTTTTTGTAATTGATTTTTACATTATTCTAAGTTGTGCTTCCTATATAAATGTT